TGCCGTATATCAGTCAACAAGGAGCTTGTGTCTCCAGGGAATACAGGGTTTATGGCAGATGATCGTGGATTCTTTAAACAACAAAAAAATAACTTTAATATTCATATTGTAAATTTGTTGTTGTTGTTGTAGGAACACACAGTTTTGTTATTAAAAATAACAGGAACCAACTTATACAAGGCTACAGTTTGTAAATGTCAAAGTAATGCTACTATTGATTTAACCAATTTAGCTTAGGGTTATGCTATGCATAACAGCACCTTTACATATGTATTTGCAAGTGTCTAAGTTTCTTGTGCTATGGTAAACCTTGTGCCACTCTTAAATAACTTTATTTAATTTACTGCATCACATCACAGACATTAAATCATTACAACTATAGAGAATATACGAAGCCTTGATGGACAGTTAACTTGGTGTTAGTAATAAGAATCAATTCAAGTGGGAAATGATTGATCAAAATGGATGACAATCAACAAAAATAGATGATCATCTATAAGGCAGTTGGTAATACCGGTAATCAATTTTGTTAAAAATTACACATAGATAAGTCCTCTTTGCAATCAATAAATCAATTGGCATCTGTATTACTATTATTTAAGGAACAAAAAAGTTTATCAATCTACAGAGTTATAGAAACATAATGGGAAGCTAAAGGTGAGTGTTTTCATAGGTTCTTCCAAACTGTTATGAGTGTTTCTTTTATCTTTTAGAAACTCAGAGAATGTCTTTTATTTCAGAAAATACTGCAAGGAAGAGCACATTAAAGAAAGTATGGATTTTATAAATTGGCACAAGGTCTTATCAGTGTGACATAAATGCATCTTTCACTCACTCTCTCACTCATCCACTCAGAGACATTATGATATTTTGTTTTACAAAACAATAACTCATGTGCTTTCATGTGTAACTCTATATTGAACCAAAATGGTACCTACTTGTGGTAAACTAACGATAGCCGTGCCAGCATCCCTGTGACGCAGACCCCTTTCTAGCACCAATCCATCTCTTCCCCCACTGTTTTGAGGATTTGTTGCCGATTGTGTAGTGGCTGTTGATGCAACATTGGAAGTTGCTACATTCAGACTCTGAAGTTGCTCAAACTCAATATCCTAATGAAGAGTTAATGTGAGAAGTTAAAATACACAATACATTTTTTCCTGTACTGTGTCTAAAAAAGAAAATGCAAAAATTTCCCCTGGCTTCCAAGAGATGCTTAAGGTATTGGCACTTGAACTACTGTATTGACAATTTGAGCAAATTACTTAGTTCATGTACTGACATATCATCTATGCAACATCATCTCAACCCTCCCTTCCCCCATTCTAACACTTTGTTGGCTTCATAATTTTTTATAAAGAAAATAGCAAAAAGATATCTTGTAGCTTAGAGCCTGATGCTATTAAAACACCAAAGACGTTTTGAAAAATTTACACATAAACCATCCCCTGTTGCATGAGTTTTCATCAACTTTCCAATGTTAATTACATAACACCCGGTCAACAAAAAGATCACCAGGGTATAACATTTGATGAAGTAACAAAACTAAAAACCAAGAACTTCACTTAAAAGAAAGATTACCTGTCCAAACCCAAAAATAAGCTGCGTACTGAAGCTTAACTCAGTTGACGACACAAAGAAGAAACTACGTTAAGTTTCATTTTCATTTCAAAACATAAGAGCTTACGATATGCGATTAGTGAACAAAAATACAATTGTACCCAACTACGAATCGAAAATTATCAGTAAATTCAATTTAATAATTTGATAAATTCAGCGAGCCATGATAAAGCTCAAACCGTAGATGTGGTTATGAATTATTCATCGCACGTTGTTAATTTGAAAGCCCAGCTGTGAGCACTATGATAACGCCATCAATGCCTTCTTCCTGCGTTTCTATAGAGCAGTTGAACTTCGTATAATTTCGGTTCTCCTTCGATGAAAGTACCTGCAAGTTCACTGTTTAAGTACTCGTAGTATTGAAGCCTTTACAACTTCATCAACAACACCAGCTGTCTCTGCGGTTGCCTGTTGGACAGCTCCATATTGAACTGGGCCCGTTAACAAAATTTCGAAAGTTAATTTGAATGTTCTCGACTCAGATCAAGTTTTTGCTAATAACGAGACGACTTCAACAGGTCTGCTTTCTTCCTATTTTCAAACCATCGTACCTCAGCTAATAAGCTCAACCTTTTAAATGTTATACACAATCACATGCTCACAAGCATGGAAACCGTAAGCTCATCAGGTCGAAGATTCGAAAAAAAAAAATAGAACAGCAATTACGAAAAAACCCATGCTAACTATCACATCGTTAACACCTTCCACGGGACTTTCTCTCAATATGACAGCCACTTGTACTTAGCAGGATTCCTCAAGGGCTTGGATGTACGCTTACTACATTTTTCCACAAGGTCTCGGGTGCGCTCAACTTCAATCGAGTGTTACCGATTTATTTCTTGGCAAATTTTTCATTTCCGTGGCGAAAAGGCTACCTAAGAGTACACCTAACAGACCTTTGAAGGAATATCGTGCTTGTCCCAATCTATAACTTCATCTATATCAAAATCGGCGATATCATTCGCGTTTGACTCCGTCGCCATTGCCCCACTATGAAGACATCAACATCGTATGCGCATACTCTAGCGTATTGCTGACCAAAATTTTGTGCCTGCGATAAAAAATCGCCTCGCTTCTATGTTGTTTCATCAGAATTTTCTTCTTAGAGCATTCCTTCGCAGTAGAACCCCGCCCTATTACGGTCACCTCGTGATTACGGCCAGGCTTTTTGGACCCAGCAAAACGCCCACACATGTTGTTATAAGAAAACCCCGTTAATCTGGCCAACCCGTTAATACGGCCAACGGCCACACTCCGACCTGTATAATCCTTATGCCTGATGAGGATAAAATCTTTCGTGGCTCTTCATTTTTGATAACGTAACGTGAAAACAAGCTATAACTTTACCCTGTTAATACGGCCACTCGAACCAGTTATGTTCACCTTTCCATTGTTAACCCTCCGGCGGCGGAGCGTTTTGAAACATGGGGGGTGGGGGTGGGGGGGGCGGCTCTTAAAGAGATAAGATAACACAACTTTATTTATACACGGTTTTTCCATTAGTCAACAAAGTTACTGGACTATCTACCTATCTGCCTAACTACAATAAAAATTTAAAAAAAAAACTGCTTTTCATGGAGGCCGAGTCTAAAAATTTACTTAAAATTAAGATATTACTTTAAAATGTGGCGACTTAATTTAGATTTGAAATCGGTCAGTGAAGATGCTTGTCTTAAGTCTAATAGGTAAGTTGTTCCACAACTGAGCTCCGCTGTACGAAAAGCTTCTCTTAAGATAATCAGGTCGAGGTTGTGGAAGAACTAATTTGCTTTCGGTATTCCTTAAACGATAAGCATTTACGCTGTCACGATATACGAATCTTGATCTTTGA